ATGAACATGGCTTAGAAAGAGATAGGCACCACGGACGACTACTCAATACGATTGCCGTCCGTGCTAGGTGTGCACCGCTATAAGAAAGAGAGTTGGCGGTTCTCATAGCTACTAGTACATGTGGTGCCGTCGACCTTATCGCTCAAGTTCCCAACTACGTACGCAGCAAACGTGCATGCTTGCGGCGGACCGTCCTGTGTTTTTTGTCTTCGCCTCGAACTGCTGTTTTTGTTCATGGATGACGACACAGACGAAATGCAAGAGGCGCGCGTCGTTACCTATACGCAAGAAACTCGCTGCCTACGCGAGCAACGCCCACAACCAAGCGACAGAGACGATTACTGTACAAGTTTTCAGCACATTTCGAGCATCACTCAGCAAGAAATGAATCACACATAAACGCAAACCAAAAATGGAATATTGTGTCGCGCAGCACGCAGGATCCTTTTTCTCTGTTCAACTGACCATTCCCATGGCGAAACCGACAAAGGAACAGTCAAGGCCGAGTCGTGTCAGTCACAGGAGGTGGAAGCTGCTCTAACTCGGGGAGGGTTCATGGTTTGCAATTCCCTACCGAAGCATACTTGAGGCGCCACGAGAGTTGCATTGTAGCTCGAGATCAGCCTTTAAGACGGGGCGGGGGGTGGGCTATGATAAAAATAGGATCGCTGTCGCTACAACGAGCAACAGCTAATCGATGAAACTGTCGTCAGACGTGTGCGTCCACGGGTGGAGGTGCGTGATATTGAGGCGTAATCCTACCGAACCCCCAAACAAGCGAATCGATCGGCGACCAAAATTCCCCGATCGGTCAACAAAATATATCCGCGCAAACGTTTTCTATCGCTGCACGCCTTGCTTCACACACAACAGGTCAAGTAGTCAAACTGGCTTTGCTTGCCATAGAGCGGTGTGGTTCAAGCACAAAAGTGAGCACTGAACAGAGAGCAGCACACTTTTGAAAACCCCGTCCACCCGGCCTGCTATTTTCAGCACTGGGGGCAGGGAGTAGTGTCACAAACTGAGTGTCCCCTGCGATTTACCCAAAGGCCTTGCGCTCATATTCCCGTGGTGACCCGAAGTGTGACCTCCCATTTTTACCGCGCCCTGTCGAAAAGTAGAGGAACTTAACAATCAAAGAGGGGCGGCTGCGCCGGGGGTCAATATCATATACATGACCAATCCGAAATAATCAACGTGTCGGAGGCCCCATTGCTCTCCTGTTGCGTGGCGCCGTGGGTTTGTGGGGCTGTCTCTGACCCGAAACCGGCCATTTTACCGCATTTTTTCAAACGGCAGTTTGGCGAGGTGGTAAATATCTGTCTTCCGTCTTCTAAAGAAGCACCCGAGCCCCCCGTACTCACGAAGAAGCACAGCAGAGGGATCAGCGAGTTGGGGGCCTTGGGGCTGCTGGTGTCCTCATTCTAGTTGTATTTCCCAGAGCGTAATCAGCGGCAGTCGAAGACCAGGACACCATGCAGTGTCTCGGTTTGAACAAACAACGACCTGAACGTGTATTTCATCGCTGTTCTATCCGCTGCGCCCTTTGTGCGTGTGTCATTTTGCCCGCTGTGCGTGTGTGTGTTTCTGGTTTGCGTGTCTAGTTGCGTGTGTTCTGTAGCTGCAATCTGCTGCATGTTGTTTTTGTTGTTGTTGTTCTGCTGCATGCTCCGAAACAAAACGGATGTGCTTACTCTCCTTTAAAATCAATTGATGCACTCTACAACCTAGATAAAGCGTTGCTGACTCACGCAGAAACTATTCTTTCTTCATGGAGCCCTATATTGCGCTGAGACCTCGGGAAAGATTACAAATTTCGTTTCGCTCGAAACTAAATGACACAGGCAGAATAAGTCAGTTTAGATCGACAGAGACCCAAGATTTACCGAGCTTGGTTTTTTCGACGTTAGCACCGTTGACGAAGGGATGGGACGGCTGGAACCTTCTCGCGATGAAAGACAAAATCCAGCACGCACCGCAGGAGGAAGGTGGGACCAAGAAACAAAACTAATATAGAGAAAACGAAAAAACTCCCCGGTGTTTACCCCTTCCTGTGTGACCCTGGATGGGTGGAGGGAAAAATGCACACTGAAAAAAGTAGTGCATGTCTCCAGATGAAAAAATGGGCGGACTGTTGCCATAGTAAATAGGACGAGATACATACACAAGGGGCGTGTTTCCACATAATGGGGCCCTAAATTGATCAAAATTATTGGCAATCCCGCTGACGACGTCAACTTTAAAGGAATCGCCGATTGGTTTCCAATATATGAAGGGACCCGTGCTGAAGAACGTGATAACGTTATGAAGAATTCACGTGTAAATGACTCTTCTTGTGCGACAGGAAGCGAAAGTTCTTTATCGCGACGTTGAAAAGATACGTCTTATCCCTCTCTCCAAGTACGTGCTCCCTCCTCAAAAAACAAATGGTGCAAAAATATTTGTCAGCCGTGGTCGAGGGGTTACAGTCCCTCGAAAAAATCTGAGCTTCTTGCCAGACAATGGGTGACTTGGGTTGAAAATGAAAAGTGTCTCCAAAACACGTGGGGACACTGTTCATGTTTAGCCAAGTCAGCCAATTTGTCCGGCAACAGGCGATGTACAGTTTTACGACCTAGAGGGCACACGCGGGTCGGGAGATGTACAGCTAGTCAGAGGCCCAGAAGAGGTATCACACAGCGTGCCACACAGCGTACCACCTCAGCCAATCATGATAAGCCCAAGAGTTCTCACGTACGATGCACACAGCGGAGCCTAGGGTGACTACAGAGCGGTAAATGTGGCTTGTAATACCAACTCGACGAGTATCGCAGCATTACCTATCCGAAGCTTTCAAGTCTTTTAGCGGCTACTAACGTCGAGAGCGCACAGACGCTAGCTTCACCGAGCACGACCGATAGCTTGCCGAAAAAAGACTAAACGCATCGTGTAGCATCCTCGTCGGCGTGAACTACCGTAATCATCGGGGTCTTGGCACATATCGGGGTCTCGGCACATGTCGGGGTCTTGGCACAGGTTGTGCGGAAAAAAATCGGGTTCCGAATGATTTGCTAGTTTATCGCACAGGTATCGTTGTCTCCGCGCACTGTGCGGAGATGCCGATATGTGAAGTGAGGTTTGGCGGTAAGTGATACCCTTTCAGCAGCATCTTGTGCTGGAAATTCAGGATACTGTAGGAGCTTGAATCGCGTGTTCCACTGCTACTGCTGCCCTTGGCACCATGACGATGTTCAAAAATGTGGTATTTAGCTTTTTGTTTTCTTCTTTTCGTTCGGAACAATCAAGATCGGCAAATCGGCAAACGGCATCCACTCAACAATTCTAAACGCAGATGTAACCAGAAACGAAGTAAAAAATCACACCAAACTACCACTACGAGCTACCAACGTCCAACTACTGTACTTCCTAGGCGGGTCGAACTCTACTTTGTGCCCGCGCCCCTACCATCGCGAAAATATCCAATCTCACTGGCAATCCCAAAGAACTATGATTCAAAGTTCGACTACTTCTCCTTCGGCGCCCCCTCCCCCCTGCCCCTCCACGACTTCCACGTCGCTGTTGCCCTCCAAGACCTCCACCTCGTTATCGCTCTCATCAGCGACGAAGGGCAGCAGCTTTCCCTCGACCTCCTTCTGAGCAGCCGTAATGGGGTTGGAGTCGAACCCCCCTGGTACCTTCGGCAGCTTGAGCGGCGAGAGAGTCACGTCGGGTGCTCAGCGAGCCACACGGCGTGCCGCTCCTCAAGAAGGTCCCGGTGGTCTTCCCCGAAGTTGTGCTGGCACCAGGCATGGTCTTCGCCGCCGTCGAGCGCGAGCGTGAGACCGCAGATCTTGAAGCAAGTCTTCACCGTCTCGGGGTTGATGGACTCCCACGCTTCCTTGCACCACGTTGAGACGACCCCACGCTCGGGTGGCTTCAGCTTCCCCGACCGGGCGTCTATGACCGCCGACGCGCTGTAGGCGGTGTACTTGCCCCACAGCAGCCGCTTCATCTGCTTGTTGAGCATGCGGTCGAGCGGTTGGACCAAGGGCGTCAACCCGCCTGGGATGAAGATGACCATGGTGTTGGCGTCTCTCTTGAGGGCGGCCATGAAACCCTCGGCCTTGTGGCACTTGAAGTCGTCCAGCACCAGGATGCACGGGCGCTGCTGGACGATGCTGCCGTTGTTGGGACGGAGCTTCCAGCTGCCCGAGATCCACCCGTTGCACTCCCTATGGTAACTCCAGCTCTTTTCCTGCATGCCGAAGGACATGCCGTTGGCAAAGTGGTCGTGCTTGGCGCGGTTCGCAGGACGGATCTCTCACGCGACGGAGTCCTTCTGCGGCAGGGTGATCATGCCCTTGCCGCTCACGGTCCGGGGCTCTTGCCCTTGCCGCTCACGGTCGGGGGGATGAACAGCGTGCCATTGAAGATGATGCGCGGCGAAACCTTTTTGCCGTCCGTCATGACAGCCAGAACGAGCATGAAGCGCTCCTTCTCGTTGCCTGAAAGGAGAGGAAAAAAATCTACGCGAGGGGAGGGGGGGGGGGGAAGGGGGGNCTGCGAGGACAACGGTGTATGGTTGATACAATGGATGCCAACGGTACCGGACGTTTCGAAAACTAAGTCGGTTGATAGTTTGGATGCAATGAAAAAGGAAGTGTAGAATATTCCCGCAGAAAAAGGCAATACCCCTCCTGTGTCTACCGATAGAGCTACATCGCACCGTGTACCGGCACGCANGGACAACGGTGTATGGTTGATACAATGGATGCCAACGGTACCAGACGTTTCGAAAACTAAGTCGGTTGATAGTTTGGATGCAATGAAAAAGGAAGTGTAGAATATTCCCGCAGAAAAAGGTAATACCCCTCCTGTGTCTACCGATAGAGCTACATCGCACCGTGTACCGGCACGCAAAAAAAAACATGTCTCAAAAAATTGTCCAACGACACAAAATCCGCACACCACACACAATTTTGACGAAAATATTAGCTCGCCCTCACCTCCTGTGCTGATGCGAGTATCCTTCGCACCGGTCTTTTCCAGAGTGGGCTCCACCGGCATCTCGTGCTGGACTGGCGTCTGGTCCATGTTGCCGAGTTCCTCGAAAACCTCCGCCTCCACAGACGCCAGCTGCTCGAAAGTAAGATCCTCCCCTTAGATGGGGCTCCCGTCAGGGGCCGGCGGGTGGCGCCGAGCGTAGATCTCACCGGCGCGCTTTACGAGAGCCTCGAGCAGCTTCATCACCGTCGCCCACGCCATACCTTCGTACCCCTTTGGCAGTTTCTGGCCCACGCTGTTACGCCGGCGGATGCTAAACCCATTCCGCTTGCCGAACCGTTGGTACCATGAGTTGAATTTGACCTTGAAAGCCAGCGCCTCCTCCGGTTTCGCATTCGCCGGCATCCCGCCAAGGGCGTCAGGCTTCAGCTCGAGCAGCTTGTTCATCACCTCCCGATTACCACAACCACGGTGCTGCTTGCGCTGCTTGTTGATGTAGTCCACAAGGGCTTGTTCGGCGTCGACTGTCGAAGCTTTCCCTCCGCTGTGAACCTGCTTGGCCTTCGAAAGCTCGGGGTTGGCGCTGATCTTCTCCCTGAGCTGCTCCTCCTGCTTCAGCCACTCGATGATACGCTTCCGAGGCACCTGGAGAACTTTTTCCGCGCCGTTGTTTCCCACCGGTTTACGATCGCACGGGCAGATCTCCCGTGTGGACGCCGCCGCGTTCAGTTTGAACCGGATGGGGTAGCTCCCTTTCCCTCCCACTGCTCTGACCGCTCGATCGGGAAGTTGGGCTCCGGGTACGCGCGTTTGCCGTTGCTGTTTTTGACAGGGTCGTTGGCGGCTAGCATCTCATCGATAGCCTCGCCGGTTGCCTTCGGGTCCGCAAGCGGCAGCTCCCTGATCCGCAGAGGAAGGACCGCCAGCACTAGCCTGTGAGGCCTGTGAGGCGTCGGCAGGTCCCGCGCTTGCACCCTCCGACATCGTAGCCGCGCGTTGCGTGTAGTCGAGCCCGCAGCTCCGTCCCGGGCATTTTCCCGATTTTCCGCCGGTATTTCTCCGCCACGGAACTGTTGTGGTGGCAATTCCCCGAGACTCGTTTGTGTGTGCAGCTACTAGCTTGTCTGTTGGTTGTGTTGTGATCGTGTTGCAGCAATACCATACACGCGAAGTGCTGCTATCCCCTGTGGTTTTCGATGTTAGGATCGCACATATCGGGGTCTTGGCACAGGGGTGTGCGTTCGAAAGTCGCCGTACCAGCCGCTTTGGATTTAAACAGCATCGTACATATCGGGGTCTTGGCACAGAGGTGTACATTGTTTCTTAAAACCAAAATACTTACTGCATTTCCGCACAGGTATCGCGAACTTGGCACATATCGGGGGGTTCGCACACCTGTGCGAAAAAAGTCTGAAGTTCGAAACATTTAAAAATGCGACCGCACAGTGTGCTAAGACCCCGATGATTACGGTACCATTATTATTTGTGAATATTTATGAAGGGGGCGTGATATATTATGCCACGTACTACGGTACATGCACAAGAAGAAAAAGGAGCACCCTCCAGACTCCAGGTATAATATTCTATGCACGCTATCCATCCATGGACGAACCCACCTGTGCAATGTTATTCTTTTGTGGTCTTCACACCAACACCGTTCCGTTCTCTCTACCCGGTACCTCTTCTGGTCCATACTAAGATAGTCTAGCACTTTAGCGGTCGATTCCTCCCGTGGATACATACAGGCTAACGTATCCAAAAAATGGTGGGTGCAATGGTTCAGTACGCTGCTCGACGATTGACTACAGCAGACTGTTGGAGACAATGGTTCAGTATGCTGCTAGAAGATTCACTACAGCAGAGACTGTTGGAGACAATGGTTGGTTCTGTTCTTCGTGTGAAAAGTGAGATAGTGGCAAACTCACGCGCACCGCAAGAAAAGAGTCAGTCTTCCACCGGCCCTGAGGAAAAGAAAGAAAGAGAAACACGCTTACTTCTCACAACGCCAATCCATGCGTATGCCCGTTTTTGTGGCGAGAAACTCCATGCTGTCGAAAATCCCGCTAATCATTTCGCTAATCTGTCTACAAAGTACGCACGATCACACCCGAATGAAGGAGACGACCAGAACGCGCTCTCCGCGCGCTCAGAAAAAAAGTGGGACTAAAAATAAATGCGGACCCCAGGAGATGTACTTTTCTGATTGTAAGTTCTCTCCCCGCCGCAATAGAGCCGGACAGGAGAGACGGCAAAAGATACGCGGAGGCGTAGTACGCGTTTCCCGTCATGGACATAAGGAATAGAGTCGTACTGTGGTGGTGGCAGGAGCCTCTCAGTAGAAGGCCCTTCTGTTGCACCCATGGACGCAGCAGTGTAGCACATGTATGTCCGTGGTAGACCACTCTTATTACAATAAAAAATAGAGAGCACGAATCATACCGACAGGTGGGTTGCGGGTGGATGGAGGACCCCAAGAAACGGTCTTCTTGTCCGCCACAGAAGGAGGAAGCTGATGCTAATCTCAGAGAGGGGTCATGGTTTGCGATTCCCTACCGAAGAAACACTCACGCGGGGCACCACGTCGTGGGCATGTCAAGTAAAACAAAAAACTGCTGGAAATAGGTGTGTGCGTGGGGGGGGGGGGGGGGGG